CATGGGAGGAATAGACAAACTCTAGATAGGGCAAAGGGGTGGGAGGGAAAGGGAAGGAGCAGGGGGTTAGAAATGATGGWAGAATGAGATGGACATCATTATCCAAAGTACATGTATGAAGACACAAATGGTGTACAACCAGAGATATGARAAATCGTACTCTATATGTGTAATATGAATTGCAATGCATTCCTCTGTCATATATAACAAATCAGAATAATAAATAAATAAATAAAAATTAGGTTGTAGAAAAATAGTTAATTAGGGGCTGGGGTTGTGGCTCAGCAGTAGAGCGCTCGCCTAGCATACATGAGGCCCTGGGTTCAATCCTCAGCACCACATAAAAATAAGTAAATAAAATAAAGATATTTAAAAAAATAGTTAATTATATCAGAAAATGTTAATGGGATATTGGTAAAAGGCAAAATACCACCTAATGTAAGTAGTATGTTACCAATGTTGCAAAAATAACATAAATATACATTAAAAAGATTGAAAATATATGTATAAAATTATCAATAATTATTTCTGCATGGTGGTGGTAGGATCATATTTTTTATTTTCTGTACACTTTCTTCTATTTCTAAATTTAATAGGTATAACTTATGCAATAAAAATAAACAATATTTTATATGTCACTGCCTATCATATTTTGAACAAGATTTAATTTATTCATTCATCATTTGGTAGATCCATGCAAAAAGGTTTGCAACTACTTTGCAGGAAAATTTATAGAAGTTGAATGAGAAGAAAAATGTCAGATTTTATGCATTTAACTACCTGATATCATTCATTCATTTAATGAGATGCCATTACATCTAGGGACTGGATTTAATGAACTAGTAATTCTTCAATATTTGTAGTACACTCTCCATGGTGTAGTGTTTTGAAGGAGTGGTTCTCAAACTTTGCTGCACATTAAAAACTCTGGGAAACTTTCAAATATATTGATGTCCAGCCAGGCACAGTGGTGTACACCTGTAATCCCAATGACTTGGTAGGCTAAGGCAGGAGGATCGCAAGGTGGAGGCTAGCCTCAGTAATTTAGCAAGACCCTAAGCAACTTAGTGAGACCCTGTCTCAAAATAAAAAACTAAAAAGGGATAGGGATGTGGCTCAATGGTTGAGAGCCCCTAGATTGAATCCTGAATAAAAAAAAAAAAATCTTGATGCCCAGTGTGTATCCCAGACCAATTATACCAGAAATCCCCAGGCAGGGACCCAAGTTTCTGTGGTTTTTAAAGCTCCCCATGTGATCCCCAGTATATTAAGTTCCTGAGGTCACAAGGTCAAAGGTCAGTTAACTTCTCCTAAAGAAAAAAAATTCCCATTTCCTGACATGATGAGGTGTAAATGAAGTTAAATTTAAAAATGCTTCCTGGCTGGGTGCAGTGGTGCATGCCTATAATCTTTGCTATTTGAAAGGCTAAGGAAGGAGGATTGCAAGTTCAAGGCCAGCTTGGGCAAATATAGAGTTTATGACTATGGAAATTTTTATAAAGAGAAGGTCTATACCTTTGATTCTCCAAGGGACTTGTATATCAGAGATTTTAAAGAAGGACAAATAGATTTTTCAACATTTGTCTGTAAGTAGCAAGGTAGTGGCCTCAAAGCCTGGCAAAGAGAGAAGCACAGACCCTCATTAGCTCTGATATAACTGCCATTCTCCTTAGAATCATGGGCCCTCCTGGAGGAGATGAGAATTGACTCCCTATTAAGTTTCCCATTAGGGAGGCAGGGGAGGGAATGGCGAGTCCTCATAGATGGAAGAAGAAAGCTCCAGCCTCTTTCTTATTAACTTGCCTGTGACCATTTACTTGTTGGTTACTCTTGTCTTCTCACCTTTAAAACATGCTGAAATACTGTTCTTTCCTTAGCAGGTTATATGAGGCCATGATGACATATACACGTCAGTGTCACTTAAAAGCACTGGAGCAGCCCGAGGGTTTACTTATGCTTTTGACTGTATTCATGTACGCATCATCAGTGACATTTGGGTAGGTTTTAGGGAGACAATTCACCCATTTCTTGACATACCTGATCTGCCTGGTGGGTCCCTCACTGGAGGAGGGGGCCTCTCATTAGGCGGGGGAGGAAGAGGGCCCGACCGTCCTGGTGAAGGTAAGGGAGGTGCAGATGAAGTGAGGGACACATTCCGCTGTGGGAGCCTTGGGATTTCATCACTGCCACTGGAACCCGGAGGCAGGGGTGGTGGGCCAGGCCTGCTGGGTGGCGGTGGAGGAGGTGGGGCCTGTGAGGAGGAGGAAGGCCGTGGCGTAGAAGGCACCGGAGGCTTGTTGTTTTGAGGGGGAGGAGGTGGAACGGCTTCCCTGTGCAAGGAGGGCCTGTTGCCCATTGGAGGGGGTGGTGGAGGGGGTTTGTCATCCAGGGCCCTGCCTGGGGTTGGGGGCAGAGGAGGCCTGCCTGAGAAGGGTGAGGAGGAGCCTGAGGGTGTCTGGCGTATGGAGCTTCCTCCAAAAGCAGCACCTCTGTTTCCGGGGAAAGGGGGAGGAGTAGGCCCAGGGCTAGGCTGCCTGAGGGCTCCTGGCACTGGTGGGGACCCCCGGTTATGAAGACTTGATTGAACGGGTCTTGGTGTATTAGGTACTGGAGGGGGAAGGTTATCAGGCTTTGAGCCCACATCAGGCCTTGGGGGAGGCATTCGGTTCCTTGGAGGCTCTGGGGGACCGGTTCTTTGGCCTGGAGAAGGCACAGGAAACCTCCCTGGGCCACTTGGGGGTGAAAAGGGTTTGGCAGATGTGGATCTTCCTCCTGGTGGCAAAATTGGTGGTCGGCTTCCTCCAGCATCTAAAGAACAGGAAAGCATATCAGTTAGGAAATCAGGAGCCTAAAGAAATCAGAAGGCTGGAGTACAGTCCCAGCTACAGGAAGCCCTTTCCCAGAATATTATGAAATATAGGTAACTGTTACTTATATAAATTGGGTTTTGTGTGGTCCTTCCTTACTGGAGGCAGAGGGATAGATCATAGCTCTCTGTTTAGCTTCTAATTCTAGGTTTTACATGCCATCTGCTTTCAAAGGGGTAATAGAGATCTCTTAGCATTAAATGTGGACAAAAGCCAAAATGAAATTGGTAAAGAGTTCTGGTCGAACACACCTATAATCCCAGAGGCTTGGGAGTCTGAGGCAGGAGAATCACAAGTTCAAAGATAGCCTTAGCAACTTAGTGAGACTCTGTTTCAAAAAAAATAAAAATCTTAATTTTATATATATATATATATATATATATATATATATATATATATATATAGAGAGAGAGAGAGAGAGAGAGAGAGAGAGAGAGAGAGGAGGCAGGAGGAGGGCTGGGGATGTGGCTTAGTAGTTAAGCACCACAGTGGTTCAATACCTGGTACCAAAAAAAAAAAAAAAAGAAGAAGACGGCCCTTTTCATTGAGAGAGAACAAGAACAAGATGGCTGGGCAGAGATTTCCGTTGATGATTTATCTAGGCCACCATTCTTGTTCCCTGGCCCTTGGATCTCTCTCTCAAGTTTGAAAAATAACTCATTCTTTTAGGTGACAATGTTAGTTATTCCAATATAAATTCATATGCCAAGGTTACATAGTCCCTTTGAAAAGCACTGCCCCCAAATGGGAGGCAATTTAACTGAAGAGTTATGACTACAATAAGAAGTAAGAAAGAAGCCAGGCGCAGTGGCACATGCTGTAATCCCAGCAGCTCAGGAGGCTGAGGTAGGAGGATTATGAGTTCGAAGCCAGCCTCAGCAAAAGCGAGTAGCTAAGCAACTCAGTGAGATCCTGTCTCTAAATAAAATATAAAAATATGTGGCTCAGTGGTCAAGTGCCCGAGTTCAATTCCTGGCACCTGCTCCCCACCCCCGAAAAAAGAAATAGACAAAGGTCAAGTGAAAGAATTTACACTGGTGCAAGCAAGCAGGCAACAACACAACTCCTTCCTATTGGGATAACTTCCATCTCAATATCAGCAGGAAAGAACAACCCTGCTAACTGCTTAAGCTCAACAAATGAACCAAAGTTTAGGGAAGAACTAAAGGGGGAAACAAAAATATGGAAAATGTGGACTCTTGCCTCCAGAATCTCTTGAAACCCAGGGTAATTTCTGAAAAATGGTTAGCCTTAAAACATCTACCACTTCAATCAGGAGCTAATTGATGTATCAAATATTTATTGCTCACTTGCTGTTTGTCAGTCATCATTGTAGATGCTAGAGACGGAGAAATAAATAAATAATAATAAAAAAAAAGATCCTGCTCTCCTGTAGTCTGTCTCTTGTGGGAAAGATAAATAGCAAGCCAGTAAAAAATATTTTCAGATAGTTTAAAGTACCAAGAGAGACTGATGAATCAAGAGTACCTGAGAGGCCAGGACAGATAGGGTGACCAGGGACAGCTCTTCTAAGGATGTGACATATGAGCTGATACCTGACAAGAAGTGGCCAGCCATGGGTAGATGAGGCAGAGAGGCTTAAGGTAATAAGCCAGCAGGTGCAAAGGCCCTGATGTGGACATAAACTTCAAGTTCAAAAAAAAGAAGCTTAGGTGCTCAGGGTACAGATAGTATGGGGTAAAGGTCCTGGTGAAGGTAAGGGAGGTGTAGATGAAGTGAGGGACACAAATATGGGGAAGTATGGAGCTTTAGTGGCCTGCAAGGGCCAGGTCACAAAGAGGCTGGTAGACCAAAAGGAGTTCAGATTGCCTTCTAGGCACAGTGGGAAGCACTTGGACAGATTTATTCAGTGGAATAACATAAACTCTAGAGAGAATTTTTTTTCATCTCGACGTCAGTACTAGAAGAAAAATTGTATTTTCCTTGACTAGGTGGTATAATTCTATGACCAACTTGTGATAAATTATATCTCCCAAGTTCAGATTAATGCTGTAGTCACCATCTATCCACACAGATAGAGGTCTTTTGGCACACCATTCTGTGTGCTAATTTAAATTCCATCTTCATTACTCTCACTCTCTTTATTTCTATTTTGCCTTAATTTCTTCACCTATGGTATGAATATGTGCATTTGTCAACTGCCTCAAATCCTTTTGGTGGGTTTTTAATAAATTTAAATTTAAAGACAAGACAGAATCTCTCATATTATCTCTTTCTAGTTTTTACCATCCAGTGCTAAAATGGTTACCTTTGAGGATTCAGACTTCATCTTCAGATCGATGTGTAAATTTCACACTTTTCCAGAGAACATTTCAAATGCTCACAGAATTAAACAAATAAAATTCTTCTAACATGATAACCATTATCAAAACAAAAAGTTTTACAGTAAAATTTCTTGAGCTTCTGTAATAATCAGCAGAGGGCCTCATGTTCTCTGCAGGGTTTCTTGTTTAGGCATGATCAAGTTTACCTCTTCTCTATCATCAGGTTCAAGACAATCCTGAAGGACTAATTTCAGTGGGTCACTGAAGAGAATACAGATTGGGCATCTCAAATCTAAAAATCTTAAATCTGAAATGCTCCCAAATATGAAACATTTTTTTTTCCCTTGGTGGTGCTGGAGAATGAACCAAGCCCTTGCACATGCTAGGCATCTTGAGCCACATTTCCAGTCCTAAAGTCTAAAACTGTGGAGCACTGACATGATGCCACAAGCATAAAATTCCATACCATGAAACTGTTTCATGCACAAAATTATTAAAAAAGTTGTATGCCATCACCTTCAGGCTATATATGCATAAAGTCTATATGATATGTACATGAATTCTGTGTTCAGAATTGGGTCTCTGCCCCCAAATATCTCATTATTTTATGAAATATTCCAAAATCTGAAATCCAAAATACTTTTGATCTCAAACATTTCTAATAAGGGACATTTGACCTGTACTTAGAACCACTGGCATTGAAATACTAATGTCTGTCATGCAAAAGAACTTTTTATAGTGAGATTTGTAACTATATTCCCTAGGAGGTGCTCCATAGTATGTTTCAAAAATGGCTCACAACTATTTGTTCTGCTAGACAGCTGGGGCAGGTGACCTCACGAAGAAAGCTACACTTGCAAGGCCAGAGGGCAGAGCTCTGGGGGTGGCAAGTTCCATTTGCTCCTTCTTTCCTTCCCACTAGCTCACTCTTCAGAAAAGTGCAAAAAAGGATACACTACCCCCAAGGACATTGGGCAAATACACTGGGCAAGGGCATTGGAAGGGAGAGAGGGAGGGAAGGAAGAAGGAATAAAGGAATACAGTGGTAACATTTCAAACAACAGAGCCCTAGTGTGTCTACCAGCCTCCAAACTACCAAACTTTAGTTATGCAGAGAAGGAAACTCTTGATACCATTATCTCTGTTGGCTGTGGATCTCAGCTTCGGCATTCCAGCCTGGAATAGTCCTCCCAATCCAGGAGGTCCACCACCTCCTGTGCCACCACTGCTTCCTCCTCCACCAAAGCCACCACCTCCACCAGCACCAGCACCTTTCGGTTCTGCAAAAGGAAGAAAACACATATATGAAAATACCCATCCGAGTACACTACCATCCGTAGCCCATGGAGACCACAGAACGATGAAGCAGGGAGCAGGCTGAACCTGGTCCTCTGGTGGACACTGGGATTTCTTCATTCAAGTGCAGGATTTTAAGGGTTTTCCTTACTCTCAATCAGGACAGAGAGGTTTCTTTCCACTGAAAGGCAGTCCTAGGCCCGGGGATGGAAGAAACTGTAAGAGATGATGATTTGTTCCACATTCCTCACCTGGCCATATGGGTTAGTATCTACTAGGACAGAGTTAGCAAATAAAAGAATCTTCAAAGGAAGAGCCCCCTCCCAAGATTTTTTTTTTTTTTTTTTTTTTTTTGGTGGTGCTGGGGATTGACTGGCTCTTGTGCATATGAGACAAGTGCTCTACCACTAAGCTACATTCCCAGCCCCAGGATTGCATGCATTTTAGAACATTAATGTATTATAATTTATTTACCCATCCACTTATTTGATAGCTTTTTAGGCTGATTTAATTTTTTTAATATCAAGAAGTCCAACAGTAGGCTTTTAAAATTTTGTTCTTTATAGATGTTTGTGACAGTAGAATGTCTTTTGACATACGTGCATGGAGTATAACTTATTCTAATTAGGATTCCATTTTTGTGGTTGAACATGATGTGAAGTGACACTGGTCATGTATTCATAGACATTCAAATTAATCTGGAAGAACTGACATGTTCATGACTTTTAGGCTTCACATGAGAAAATGTGGTCAATTTTCTGATTTATTCATGTCTTCTGGATTTTTGGGAAAAGTTTTATAGTTTTTATGATACAGGTTATACATGCTTCTTATTAGGTTTTCTGAACATGTTTCTGAACATGTTTTTGTTTGTTTAAATTGTGGAAGGGACATTTTTCCTATTATATTTTGGAATTGGTTACTATTGGCATCAGGAAATATCATTTGCTATCTCATAAGTCACTATGCTATGTATCACAAATTAAAATTTACAAAAACTTTGTGACTCACATTTTCTAGCGGATACACAGTCTGTAAATGACAATGGTTTTGCCTCCTCTTTTCTAAGCTGTAGATTTTATTTCTGTTTTATACAGGGAATTACTTTGATGTCTGAATTTTATAGGAATGTAAATTATTAATGTTGCTAAAGGCAACCATGTTCTGATTTTAATGAGAATGCCTCTAATGTTTCAAAGTTAAAATATTAACTATTGGTTTGAAATATATTTTTTTCCTTTCTAAATATTTACAGTTAGGAAGTATCCTCCGATTGTAGGTTTATGAGATTTTCTTGCAGCATAGAATTTTATCAATTTAAGATCTATGGTAATTATATGGTTTTTATTTTTGATATAATGGATAAATAGATGTCAATCAAGCATTAAAAATGGGGAAAACCTTGGTCTTGGTGAATTACTCTTTTAACACATTATTGAATTAGATGTTTTGATTTTTGCTTCGTGTTCTCCCACCCATGATAATAAGAGGTCTATAGTGAAGCTTCTTGATTTTGGAACTACCGTGCTGACATTTTATTTTAGAATGATTCTTTTATATGGGTGGATATTCTATTCTTTATAAAATGTCTACACATCTCTGGCCTCTACACAGGAGGTGTCCCCCACATCCACTGAAGGTGTGGTAACTAAAAATGTTTCCAACACAAACATACAAACAAACAAACAAACAAAAAAAAAAAAACAAGAAGATTTAGGAAAATGTCTTTAGACATTGCCACACGTGGGAGGCAAAAATCACCCTGACTGAAAATCACTCATGTACAACTTCTTTTTTTGAGTGCTGCCTTTGCCAAATTTTGATCTCCACTAGGATGACAATGGTTTCATCCCATCTATCAGCCAGCTAGCTTTCCATGTCTCCCTATTTGGGAATGATTTATACAGCATTTGAATTAGCTGTTTTTTTTTTTAATTTGAAAGAATTTCCAAAATAAAACCAACTGGCTCCAAAACTTTTTGGAGAAAAAATAATGGATAAAATGTTTTCATCTTTTTCCTCACTCAGTGAGGCTTCGTAAGTGAAGTTTGGTAGATTTATGCTTTCTTAGAAAACTAATATAAGATCTTTAAATATTTTAAATGTTTTAAAATGTACCTTCATTATACTATCCTTAATTTTAGAAAATCTGTTTCTATTCTTTTATCTGCTTTTGAGGTTCTCATTTTATTCATGGGTATTTCTTTTTTTCTGTGTTAGATTTATCATAGGTTGGTGTTAGCTCTGTATCTTTTCCAGGTGTGAGGCTTTGGGGATGCTTGTAGTAGCTCTGCTGACAGAAGGAATAACCCGATAATGAAGTGATGATTACTTCACCTAATAGGATAAATCAAATTAGAATAACCATCTCTAGAGAGTATGCAAAATTGCTTCCACATAAAAACATTTAACCAGTTTTGATTATTACCAATATTAACATTGCCCTTGTCATTCAAACATTATTTATTAATGAATAATACATTTTGAAGTGCTGCTGAGGACACATTTATGTGGTACTGAAAATTCAAAGAGATCACTATATCATCAGGTATCCTCCATCTGGAGCATTTGTCCATCTTTCAATAGAAAAGCGCTATGGTTTGGATATGGTTTATATGTAACCCCCAACAGTTCATGTGTTGAAAGTTTGGTCCTCAGTGTGGCGAGGAGAGTGGTGGTGGGACCTTTAGGAGATGGGGCCTAGTAGGAAGTAATTAGGCCACTGGGGCATTGGCCTCAGAAGGAATTAATACAGTTCTCACTGGACTCTGGTTAGTTCTTGAGAGAGGGCTGTTATTAAAGAAAGAAAGCCTGGCCCTCCCCTCTCTCTGGCTTCCTGTCTTGTCATATGTTCTTTCCCTCTTGCCTGTGCTCCCACCACTGTGATACCATCTGCTACGAGGGCCTCACCAGAGCCAAGCTGATGCCAGCGCAATGCCCTTGAACTTCCAAAACAGTGAGCTAATTAAGAGTCTTTTCTCTTGAAATACCAGTGCCAGGTATTTCATTAATAGAAAATGGAGCAAGGCATGGTGGTGCATGCCCATAAGCCCAGCTACTTGAAAGGCTGAGGCAGGAGCTGGAGGCTTACCTGGGCAACTTAGCAAGACCCTGTATCCAGAAAAAAAAAAAATGAAAAAGAAAAAAGGACTAATACAAAGGCTAAAATTGAGCATAGCTAACTGACTCCTGGTCGTTTTGTGAAAACTGTAAGACATGGATGAATTCAACAGCTATCATGCATAATTGTGGTCCATATTTTGATATAGAGCCCAAGGAGGTTGCACATGCAAACAAATACAAAACCATAGATGAACTTTGTTACTTATAAAGAGCTTGTGATTGCAGTGTAGGTACAGGGATGACAAAGGTACTCACTGGGTTACTCATTTCCACCAAGTGAACTACACTCTGGAACATCACAAAGAAGTTGGAGGATAGAGGAACTAACAGTTCACATGTAATAGGAGAGAGGACCTTGAAGGATGCAATGAGTTTCCACTTGTGGATTCAGGATTAGGTCCATGCTGTTTAAGTTCCTTCAACATTGGTGGGGAATTCACGTCCATCTCTCAGGGGCCCTAAGCCCCTCTCATAATGAGAGAGCTGCTGGCTTCTGTCCTAGAGTTCAGTAGCTTCTCTGGCTCCATACCAGGGACCACAACTCAGATGGTTGCTAGAACAAGGCTCCCTGATATAATTGATTGTGCTGGGAATTTTGTGACTCCGATGGGCATTTTGACCTATAGGTCAGATTGTGTCAAGAATCAAAAACCCCCTAGTTCCTTTTTTGATGAATGGAACATTCTCATTTTCATTACCTTGCTTGAGAAGCATTCAGAAGACTTACCTTGATCATCTTCTCTATTTTTCTCCCACACTTACTTTATTCTGATTGACCCTTCTTCCTTCTCTACCTACTAGGCACTTTTCCCAGCAATTCCCCACAAACTTCTAATCTTCTACTTCCCTAAAACCCTGCATCATTATTCGCTTGTCTACAAAGCTCCATTTGATGATTTTTTTTTTTTTTTTTTGAGGGTAGGCCTATTTCCTACTAGGGTCTAATGGGATCTGTGGTCTAGGATGAACCTTGGGGACATCTCATGAGTAGTGGAAAGGTCTAGGGACATGAAAGGACAGTGTCAGGACATGATTATTAATGATTAGTAGATTCTTAGTGTTGGAATAATAATTAATTATTAGTGGTGTGTGATTTTTCATTCAGTTGTAAGTGTTAATGAGCAGTTTTGTGTTGTGGCAACTTGCCTGTTTATATGTACCCTGCCTTGGTGCAGAAAGTATCTCAGATTCAGATGGACACATAAGCAAAGTCGTGATCTCCTTTCCTCGCTCCTAATAATAATCTTACACTAGAATTACACCTTCCAGATAATAAAGCTTTTTTATAAAGGTTATCTCATCTTAAGCTCACAACAAACTTGGGAGGCAGTAGGACAGGTGCCATCTTCACAAATGAAGACCATGGGCTTGGAGATGGTACATGATGAATGTGCCAGGACCTGGACCCACTGCTTTGACTCCAAGGCTAGGGCACTTTCCATATTTCATGCTGCCTTCAGATCTGTGGTGCCAGGAGCAATGACTTAACCTCCAAAAAGTGTGAATAATTCAGAGAATTGCTGCTGTGTATGCCTTGGACAAAGAATTATTATACTGGCTTCCTGCAGCATTAGAGGGGAATGCAAGCCAAAGCTGTGGCCTACAATGAGGGACACAGTCACTTATTTTGCCAGCTTTGCAGCTGTTGTTAACCAAAAAAAAAAAAAAAAAAAAAAAAAATTTGGTGGGAGGTGTAGGGTTGATTGTTAGGCTACCAACCATTTATCTCTTTGGAAAATAGATTTTTCACTTACTGTCCAATATTGGTGCACTTCTGTCATTGGTGACCGTCTTCTTTAGTTTCTTCCCTTTATTGATGTCAGAGAGAAGAGCATTTCTTCCAGCCTGCTCAGACTTATTCAAGGTAGGCTTCTCTGTATTGGCCTGAAAAGAAAACCACAAGAACTTATATGCGGTTCTTGGATTCAAATCAGGCACTGTAATACTCAGCTGGATAGGCAGGATATTGGAATCTAGTTATTAAGGTTCTTGGTGATAGCCTGTAAATTCTCCACAAGTTTTAGACTCCATGTCATTCTTTTTAAGACCCAGATGTTTGGGAGCAGATGTAGTAATAAATCGCTTTCATTTTCAAGGCAGGAAGAGTCATTCCCTGATGAAAATCTCTAAAGATTCAGGCCACAGTCTGGCCTTAACCAGCAGAGCCAAATTAGGGTGAGACAGCTATGCACAGAAGGGAATTCTGAGAGGATTCTGCAGGATGTGACTAGGCTTCATTCTTCAGGGTGGGTCCTGAAGAACAGGATCCCTCCCGTCTTTCGGAAGTAACCTGGTGCAAGGGAAAAATGGTCTCTCATCAACCAAAGTTGATGAGACAGTTTTAGAAAACAATTTCCTTTGAACACATTGACAGAGAGGCTTTTTAAAAAATTTAAGTCCTATATATTGAGGTATAATTTATGGATAGTGAAATCATCCTTTTAGTTTACAGTACTATGAACTGTGACAGAGGTATACAATTGTGGAACCACCACCACAATCAAGATACAGAAACATTTTCATTACCCTAGGGAGTCCCCTCATGTCCCTTTGGCCTAAGGTGGGTCTGATGTTTCATCTCTTTAAATGTTTAGTTCACTGAAATTGCAGAGTGAATAAAAGTGCTGCTTTAAAATGTTTGGGGATTTTTTTCTCTGTATTTCCAAGGTCCTGGGAAAGCTCCTTGCTATGAATTTGGGATCTTGTTTGTTCAGGGTTATTTTAGGAGTGGGGACACCAAGCACCCAGCATATGAGCTTGGAAGTAGGCATCTGCCTGTGTCTGTCACACTTGGAACTGGCTGGGTCTCGCTTGGTCCCAGGGTGAGGGTAACTGCTACAAAGCCCAAGGTCCTTCCAGCAGACCTGAGGGTCCTGCTGGGCTGTCCCCATCCTTATGAAAGGGATGTGACTTCAGATAAGCAAGTCAGGACTAGAAGAGGTAAATCTGGTGTGTGGTTTGATCCATACCCAGACTTTCACTATCAGAGTTAAAGGGCGAGGAAGCGTTCAGAAGAACCCTGAAGGTGGCTACATAGGGTTACTCTATGTTCAGTTGGAAGCATCTTAAAATAATTAAATTATAACATATTACTTCCTTATAATAATAATAGTTAACATTTATGTAGTTTGTACTCTGGGGCAGGCACTGTTTTTCTAGCACTTTGTGTGTATTATTTCATTTAGTCCTTACCAAACCTATGGGTTATTATTTTTATTTTAAAGAAAAGAAACTGAGATATAGGGAGGTTAAATCATTTGCCCCGTTGGCTTACTCAGGGCACCGGCAAAGCCTGCCGTATCACAACTACGACAAACTGTAAATGCCCTTAAACACATGCTTGTATGCCAGGTTTGTACTTTGTTTGGCTTGTTTTATGCATAGAAAGTAAGCAGACAGGAGACACTCACCAAAGCAGATGTTAGACTTTTTAGCAGTACTCTGTTCTAATATTCCTCCCTGCTTTCCCACCAAAGTTGACCTTCATGCAGGTCAAATTTTTAAAAGGAACAGGATTACTTTGTTTTGAGAACTGCTCTGGAAGGACCTTAGCAGGGGGTGCTTCTGAACTGAGGTGCTTAAAGAGACTGAAGTCAAATCCAGTGCTCAAACTTACCCAACTCCAGCCCCATCGCTGCAGACCCCAGTAGAATGAGGGGGCCTTGGGGCCTGATGGACAGAGTAGTTTTTAAGAGGAGGAGCTAGGATCTAAACCCTGGCAGTCTGACTCTAGGATCCTCCTTATAATCTGACAGAAGGGTAAATATGGCCTCTATCATAGCCCTTCCCCATCTGCCCTCAACACTCCCCAGGAGCAGCCTGTGAAAAGCTTCTCAGCTGTCCTTCCAGCTTTAAAAATTACCTACTGTCTTCATTTTAAGAATAAAAATAAACTAAGGCCCAGAGACCTTAATGGACATTGTCCACACTGGGTGTCTTAAGAGATTTTGGGTCAAACACCGTTAGCGGCCTTCTGTTCTACTTCAAAGTTTATTTTCATACCTGACCTCCTTGGATGCTTTCTTCTCTCATGTGGCACACAGGGCCTTGACTGTACTGTTCCACAGGACAGGGTCCCAACCTACCTTTCCCTTTTCTCCTCTCTATATCCTATTTCTCTAAGATCTTGCTTTGAATTAGATAATAATGGATAAAAATGAATTAGTAGGATAAACAAGGGTTTTGTAAACTTTAATCCTTCTGTTACAGTGTTCATGATTTTCACATCTTCTCATGCCACCTGTCTTAATTTAATATTTTTCATTAAGTCAACTTACTATATTATTTCCTCCACTATTTGTCAATGAACATTTTCTTTTAAATTAACTCACTATCAAACCCTTGGTTTGATATGCTAGTTATAATTTTTAGAACACATGTTAAAATAAATACATAAGCATTAAGGTTTTTAAAAATTCATATTTGGGAGAAATATATATATATATATATATATATATATATATATATATATAAACCAGTCCTGCCATGTTAGCCAGATCAGAGCTTCTCAAACTTATTCATTCAAGGAATCAGTTTCTAGAATTTTGTTCTAACCCATCACAGTCTGATATTTTGTAAAATAACAATGGATTATTATAAAAATGAATTGGTTTTAGAAGAAGACACAAATTCAATGTTAGAAACAGACACGTGACTACCATCAAAATTCTCTAAATGATTCCCAACTCTCAATATCTGTGCTTATCTCCTTGGGTCACTGATAAGGTGGAGGACCATGTGTTCAGGAGCAGGGAGGTGGTTAAAGGTCAGTTCTTCCCAGCTAAGTTCTCACCTCAGATGAATTATCTAAATGTGTGTCAAAGCAACCTGGAGGAAGAGACTTTCCTCCCCCCGTGCCTCAGTTTCCCCACAGGAATAATGAAGGGACCATCACTGTGAGGTTCCTTTACAGTGAAGGCTTCGGTGCTGGGGAGGCCTCTGTAATGGAGTGTGGCATCCTGGAGATGATGCTCTGATTTCCTTTACCAGGCATATCAAGGGATCAGGATAAAGATAGTAAAGAAACTCTTTTGGGAAGTCTACAACTGGAATGCAAGCAGTTGTGGGGGAGAGGCGGGGGTGATGCTGGTGGACATAATATTTGTCAAAAACAGAGTGAGAAGAATGAGGGGAGAAGGCAGAAATAAAGAAAGGGAACTTGAAGACACTGCATGCACTGCCGACAGAGACTTGTGTTTCTGGATGGTTCTCCCCAACAATGAAAGCCTAGATGTTGAATTCATTTGAATGGAAACAGTGCTTGCTGGCCTCCAAACTGCTCCTGCAAATCCCTGTCATGGGTGGTCTTGCTTCCTTTGATGGACAGAGCAGGGGAAACCTAATACTTCACATACCATGCCTCATAGGAGACCTTCACCAGAAGAACCCTTCGTGCTGTTTGGATTCGGGTGGTCTCAGGGTTTGGCTTACTCAGGGCCCTGGCAAAGCCTGCTATATCACAACTATGAAAAAATGTAAATGCCCTTAAACACATGCTTGTATGCCAGGTTTGTACTTTGTTTGGCTTGTTTTATGCATAGAAAGTAAGCAGACAGGAGACACTCACCAAAGCAAATGTTGGTGGTGGTGGGGGTGCTGGCGGGGGAGGGACAGGCATCTTGGATGGTTACGCTTTCAATAGTCTTGATAAATCTGTAAAGACAAAACACAGACATACATTAGACTTTTTAGCAATAGTCTGTTCTAATATTCCTCCCTGCTTTCCCATCAAAATGATAACCTTCATGCAGGTCAAATTTTTAAAAGGAACAGGATTTTGACTTTGTTTTGAGAACTGCTCTGGAAGAGGGGTGCTTCTAAACTGAGGTGCTTAAAGAGACTGGAAGTCAAACCCAGTGCTCAAACCTACTCAATTCCAGCCCCTTTGCTGCAGACCCTAGTAGAATGAAGGGGCCTTGGGGCCTGTAGCTGAGTCAGCAGGAAGCTTTTCATGAAAGTACTAGAAACAGCAAAGTGTAAATGTGATATACCATTGTTTATATTTGGCTGCCTGTACTAAAACACGTTTGGCAACAAACTAACTCCCTCGCCTCTTTGTGCTATTTAAAGCAATAAAAATTTTGGTTTTCAAAGTGAAAAAAAAAAAAATGTATCCTGGACAACTTTGATGGAAAAGAAACGCAGCAGAAGTGGCTCCCCTTCATCACTCGCTCCCACACAACTTCCTCTCTTGTTCCTCTCCTCTCAGCCCCCCTTGAACTGGTATCAGCATTTTAACAAGATCCCTAGGCGGTCCATAGGCACTGACATTTGAGAAGCCTTGTTGCAGAGTTTTGAGTCTTAAACCAGTGGGCAGCCTGGGACACTGACCTCCGTCCCAGTAACAATTTCCATGCCACATATGTCCCAAGTTTCAAACAGCAGAATTATTTTCCTTTTATTCTCAATAGTCTTCTGATTACAAAGAACCATTTCTTAGAACTTAAAATATTCATGTAGCTCCATCACTAAATGCTAATGTGGAAAAATTTACACCTTGAAATAAAAACTTTCTACTGAAAGAATGCTGGATGGCTAGTTTTCTTTGAATACAAACAGAAGGGAGAAGCTAAAAGGATATTGTTGGACTTGTCACAGCCACTGGAAAACAAGAATAAAAACCAGTGGGAACAGTTTTTTTTCCAAGTGGGCTGTCTAGAAAAATGGAAATTTAAACACATTCCACAGCAGCAGGAGTAGCTATCACTTCCTGAGCACTGGTGGATCCAGGCGCTTTATCTACGCTGTCACTAATGCCTACAGCACCAGGGCAAGCTAGTGAGACTCTGCTCATTCATAGCAGAGGACGCAAGACTCAGAGAAATGACCGGTCACTAGCGGGCTCCGTGGCAATTCATTCAAATCGGCCCCTTTGGTGCCTGCCCCGCCCTCAGGCATTTTTAGGGCAGCTAGCTGGTGCTGCAGCTCACCTGTTAACTAGCTGGAAAGGTGTTTTTAAGTAAGATACTGTCTCAGACAAGGATTCTTTTCAAATGTGTTCCTTAAATTGGTTTTTCCTGCATGACAGGGATCCATCCCCCATGGGGCCAATTAGGCACTGTAAGCAGGGTTGGGCGCCCTTATGGAGGGGGCTCTCCTGCTGTGGAAGACCTTCAGAGGCCTTGGGGCTGGATGTCCTCCAGGACCAGGATGAAGGATGGGGTCTGAAGCTGAACTCAGGCCTGACTATGAAGGATGATGAAGCCAAAGCAACAGTATTAACAGTTGGAGAAGGCAGCTTACCAAGGCAGGGGGTAGCCTGGTCTGCCTGGTGGGCCGGAGAGATGGGTTTCACGGCACAGTTCATCCATGAGTTTGATCCATATGATGTTACTCAAGACTCTTATTTTGTCTGATTTCATGTTAACCAACATGAAATCTGTCATCCTATCCTAATTTAGGAATGATGGATTCTGGCCAACTAACAGGAACCCCCTGTGGGCTTGGTTCTCATGAGTCAGTTTCTGGTTACAGAAATCAAATTGAATTTTTATACTGCACAGTTCAGGGACCACTGCAAATGGGGACTCTTTCAGGATGCCTTCAAAGGCCTCCTTCATTATTCTAAAATCTCTGCTGTTACAGTTTTAGTACTGTCTGTGCACAAACTGGTTTATAAATAAACTTTTGGACCACATTTGTAGGGGTGGCGGGTAGGGGGAACTGAGCTAACCAGAAGGCTAGTGTGAGAGAATCCACAATGGACTTGGCTGGGACTGGGGTCAGGGTCAAGACCATGGCCAGCTTGCAGAAACATACAGTCAAAACCAAGTATAAGAAACTATCAAAGGCTTTAGGGTCTTGCATGAAGTGGGGCTGTCATTTCCTGGCTACCTTAGATCAACAGGGAAGAGGATCTATGAGTGCCTGCTCTCACCTTCTAAGGCCAATGCAAAACTAAGCTCTCTCTTCACTCTTCTGTGCCTGAGGACCTTTGTTGCCATTTTTTTTCCATCTGCATCTCTCACTGCTTTCCAGATGGATTATTCTCACACTCACTTTAATGCTAAGTCTGCCACGCCCTCCTTGCTCCTTCCTAGCTGAGTAGCTGCTGGGCAGAGTCTGAACTACTCTGGGCTAGGCTGTAAGGAGAGTCTCCAATCCTGTCATTCACCACACAGATCAAAGAAGACCAATCTTACATCTCACCATGCTGGGCCTGCTGCCAGACCCACTTGACTGTCTTCCCACCAGACTGTGGACTACACCAGGTCTCCCCAATAGTTGACACAAAGTAAGGTTCTCACTAAATATGAGTGGAGTGAGAACCAAAGATCACATACACAGGCCAAGTGCTTGCCACCAGAATGGCTCTTAACCTCATCCCACCTGCACTGTGAGGTGATGGGCAAAGAATCAGCACTATGTCACGGGGCTTGCTAGCACTAAGTACTGGGATTTGCTTTCCTTACAGCTCTGACTTCTCCAGTGAAGTAAAACCCCAATGTCTGGGAGGCACAGGGGGATTCCCTGATTCCACAGAGTTAACAGCTCACATCAGAATCAGAGATAGGCCTTTCTAAAGGGTCTTGATACCAGAGAAAGACCCTAACTGACTATGCATTCCTGCCTGCATTCTCACACCCACAGAGTCCAGGGGTAGAATCAGGGTCTCCTGAATGCAAATAAAGAAAAGTACAAATTATTTAACATTTCCTTCCATTACAAATGCAGACCACCAATCACAGTGCCCCTAGACTCCTTCACCAATGTTTTTTCACAGAGTACTTCCACGTCATAGTATAAGTGTTGCAGATCTCTTTTGAAATTCTGGCAATGTTTATATCTTGTTGCTTAAACCATTAGTAAAGAAGGGTGTATTTCACTGCAATTAATTTCCTTTGTAATCCTCTGTGTTTTATGAGCTTATAAACAGTCATAGAAGGAGACCTTTGGATTTTACCAGACACCAGTATGGTCTCAGGAATGAAAAAAATGAGAACATGAGACCTGAGTTAAGTGAATGTGGTTCTGAATCCTTACTCTCCGGCCTATTAGCCTGGGTCTAGAACTGAACTTCTCTGAGCCTTCCTTTCCCTTCTGTTAAGTGGAGAGTTGCTGGGAAAACAAAATGAACTGTTGTGTGTCAGGTTTCAGCAGAGTTTTGGAGAGAAAGGCATCAGTGGACAGGTCAAGGATCTGTCCTCCCTGATGGTGAGGACAGATCCTGCTGGTATGCAGGCTGCTGAGCACCTAGCAGAGGAGGGACAGACCTGGGGCGAGTGGTGGGGAGGGCTGGCTTTGCCTTCTATGTCTGTAAATAGAGCTGCACCAGGTAGGAATCAGGCAGCCAGGCCACCAGGCCTCCAGGGCTCCGCTGGGTTCTTCCCTCAGGAGAAGGCAGCATGGCAGGAAGGAGCGGCTATCAGGGGGCCAAAAGAGGACCCTGAACCAGGGAAAGGCCTAGGCCATTGGATCCCACCATGCAGCCTGTCTTCTCCTGCATCAGAATCAGCTGTCCTGTCCTGCTGCCCACCCTGTTAGAGTCCCCACAGTCGGCCAATCACAGACCTCACCATGTGTGGAGCCTTGTCCTCCTACCCAACCCATCCCAGGCACTGAACTTTTAAAAAATATACTTTTAGATTTAATTTCATTAAAAAAATCATTTCGATGCTTAAATAACTTTCATCATAGGGAGACAAGCCACACTTTCTCAAATGTTCACCTGTTGTACTGGGTTTTATATGTGCTAACTAAGAAGACTCCAGGGGTGGAAAAGGTTTGTTTTTACACACAGCATTAGGCACTGAGTTATGTCCCCTACAAATTCATCTGATGAAGTCCTAATCCTTAGTACTTCAAAATGTGACTGTGTTTGGAGATAGGGCTTTAAAGAGGTGATCAAATTAAAAGTAGGACTATCAGGGTAGAGTTGAATTTAGTGCTACTGATGTCCTTATAAAAACAGAAAGAGACACCAGGGACATACACGGGCAGAGAAAGACTATGAACAGATAAAGTAAGAAGGAGCCCTCTGCAAGCCAAAGAGAATCTTCAGCAGAAACCAACCCTAACTCAGACCTTGATCTTGGACTTCTAGCTTCCAGAATTATGAAAAAACAAATTTCTGTTACTTGAGCCACATAGTCTATGGGATATTGTTATGGCAGCCATAGGAAATTAATATATACTATTTTAACATTGTTTTGTTAACATTGTTTTAACACTGTTTTGCATTGTTTATTATCCATTATGGAAATAGGACAATGGCTTTGAATACAGTATCCATCAATTGATTTCTTACTCAAAATATATATGGACTGTCAAGATGTTAGAGAATTTTAAAAAAAATCAGCCTGAACCTTAGTATATGAGTGGTTGTCAAAGCTTTATCTAATAACTAAATGAATCATCCAGGAATCATCAAATTTTAGATGAAGCACAATTGAGGGGAGGCAAAGGATCTGCCATTTTTTAAAAGTTATTTTCCAAGTCCTTTATTTTATTTGTTTATATGTGGTGCTGAGGATCGAACCCAGTGCTTCACAGGTGCTAGCCAAGTGCTCTACCTCTGAGCCACAACCTCAGCCCAGGATCTGCTATTTTATAAAGAAGTTATAAGTTAAGAGAACAGAGCAGATTATTTTGCATAAGTGACTTAAAAACTATTGGTTGGTATGGATGTGCACACAGGCAGAGTACACATCAAT